CAGCGGGGTGCTGAGGGCAGCCTGACGTCTTGGACATGGGCCGACCCCTGGGTCAGTGGTGCCATCCCTCGGTGGTGGCTTGTCCAGGTCTGGGGAATGGAGGTGGCAAACCACAAAGAGGGGAAAGGCAGCAGCAGCTCCTACATGGAGGCACAGGTGAGCTGGGATGGGTTGGGCTCTGCCTCTGCCCCGCCGGGTACCCAGAGCTAGGTGCTCCCCATCTCAAGAGACCTCGTTTCTCACCTGCGAATAAGGGGAATGATCCCCACCTGCTCGGTAAAGCCCCCAGGGCTCTGCTGATGGAGCCTGCCTGGGGTGAGCATTGCAACCGTGGAGGCCTCCAGTGCAGATGCTACCCCGGAGCCCTCTGCCCGTGTGCGCACGCCTTCCCACGGGCTGACTGGGCGAGTTTGCTTCTGTGTCTGCATCCTGAAACGAGTACCTGATGTCACCAGTTGTTTCGGGAGTCATTCAGGGCCTTGTAAGTAACAGACAGTTGTCGGCAATGAAGGCAATCTTCATTGCCAAGACCAGCTGTGATCCAGCAGCCAGCCATTCCCAGCCCTGGGTCCCAGCCCAGGAGTCATCTTGTTCTGTCTCCCGGCATGCATAAAGACACCAGATCCTCTTCCCTTCCTGCTGGGAGAAGAGTCAGTTGCTCCAGGTGACGTCTGGATGGAGATCCCGTGTGGCAAAGACCTGACTTGGCTGATGATGCTCCAGGGGATTGGCAGCTGTCGCTGTAACAAGCCTGCCAGGGACAGACCCTTGTTCCCATTCAAAAGAGGGGCAAGGAGGCAGCCTGGTTTAATGGTCCTCATGCCTTTCAGTCCAGGGCAAGTGTGGGGGCTTGGACACACCTGTTGGTACACTCGTCCCATCCAGGCACTTCCATCGGGGCTCTTTTTCCACCAGACTCTTCCCACCCAATATGCTGAGTCCTCTTTCAAGATGGACCTAGGTGGTTGCCACGACTAGCCCCCAGAGCTGCAGGACACACGGGCTGCTTGCTGCGGTGCTGTTGATGATGGACAAGGAGCAGAGCCCTGCTTTCCAGCCCTGCCTTGGCGTGCTTGCCTGTGGGAAGAGGCTGGTTTTCATCCCAGGCCAAGGCTTCATGTTTGCATCATGCCTTGAGATCCTTGGAGGGGGATGCTGCAGGGGACCCTCAGACAGTGCCCCTAATGCTCCAGCGGTCCAGAGAGGAGCATGTGGGCTTAGCTTCATAGCTGTTAGGGCCTGGAAGGGACCTTACAGATCATCGGGTCCAGCCCCCCTGCACTTGGGCTGGAAAGACCGCTGGGACCAGATGACCCCAGCAAGGTGGGCGTCAAGATGCTCACTTCCCTGGGGAGGAGAGTGTTTGTGGCTACAGCAAGGCAACGCTTGCCTGACAGCTGCTGAGCCCGGATGAGCTTTGTCTCTTCCGCCATCGTGAGCTACAACTGCAGTCCGATGGGGAAAGTGTGACCCCAACGTTGTGCGTCTCCTTCCCGCTGGGCTGGGCCAGTGGCTGGGCAGGGAGATTTCCTAAAGCTTTGAACCTGAAAGGTGAGGGGGGCATTTGGCTGGTCGAAACATCCCAATTTATTTTCATCACCCCGTGCTTGTGCAGTGGGTATCGGCACGCACGGGCTGAGACTTATAACGAGACGGGTTCTGCACAAGCTGTACACTTAGGTGATTTTATGAGGGCATCGGTGTCTCCCCACAATCCTGCCGATTCCCCAATCCCTCCCATCCACTCTCTTCGTCATATACATGGCACCAGATAAAACCACAATATCATTTCTGCTTTTTTTATCCATCTCGGCCAAGCCAGGTCTGTCACCACCAGCCGGGCCCAGAAGCTGACCTGCTGGCTTCAGTCTTATGTGGTTGGCAAAGTCCCTGGTTGAGATTTTTGACAGTGAATTTGGACATTAGGTCCTAATTTTCAGTGTGTTCCAAGCTTCATCCCTCCGAAAATCAAGCCCTTTTATACCGTCACAGGCTGGAGGGATTGCACAGGCACCCAGACTACTTGTCACTGCAGGTGACTTCGCGATGGCTGCTGTTGTCAGCCATCTGCCTTTCCCATTGGAGGAAACCCTACCATGAAAAACCCGCATTTGGCAAGCAATGCTGGTGCAAAGAGAAGAGGGAAAGAGAAGGCCACGGTTAGGGTTCACCGGGAAGGCGCTGGTAGTCGAGACGTTGACTCCAGTGGGAATCATTAGAAAGGTGCAGTCCTGGATCCATGACTATCTTGGGTGTTTTGGTGCTGGGAGGAAAGAAGTGAGCATTTAATCCTAGATCTGATGGGTTAAGATAATCCTAGATAAATGTGGGCTCAGGCCCAGGACAGCAGAAGCAGGAACTTCAATCAAAGGACAGAAGGAAATACAGAAGATCATGACCTTGGAGGCAGAGGAAGCGGGTGGGATGCTGCATAAATGGGTTACTCTGTACATAGGGATAGATGTTGTGAACTGGGTTTACCCTTATGTGTCCCTAGTATCTAGCAAATGTGCTTGGAGGGCCGAATGCAATGGGGATTGCTCCTGGAGATCAGTAATAACCTCTCTGCTGCAATAAGGCTAACGGAGACTCTTAATACCCTAAGACCTTCAGAGTCCTAGAAGTCCTTGCATTGGTAGGAGTGTTGCCAGCAACTCAAGGAAAGTAATTATTCCCCTTTATTCAGCACTGGGGAGACCACATCTAGAGTCCTGTGTCCAGTTTGCCCCCCCCCACACACACACACTACAGAAAGGATGTGGACAAACTGGAGAGAGTCCAGTGGAGGGCAATGAAAATGGCTTGGGGGCTGTGGGACAGGACTGGTGGGGAGAGACTGGGGCAACTGGGCTGATCTAGTCTAGAGAAGAAGAGACCGAGTCTTCAGCTCCTTGCAGGGGGCTGCAAAGAGGATGGAGCTGGGCTGCTCTCAGTGGGGGCAGACGACAGGACAAGGAGCAATGGCCTCACATTGCAGCAAGCGAAGTTGAGGTTGGATATTAGGAAGAATTTTCTCATTAGGAGAGTAGGGAAACACTGGAACAGGTTACCTAGGGAGGTGGAGAAGCTCCATCCTTGGGGGTTTTCAAGACCCAGCTCCACAAAACTTTGTCTGGGATGATACAGCTGGGGCTGGTCCTGCTTGGAGCAGGGGGTTGGACTGGATGTGACCTCCTGAGGTCCCTCCCAACCCTCATTTTCCATGATCCTATGATTCAAAGTCGGCTCCAAGTCCTCATCCCAAATTCTGGCAAATGAACCTTTAAATAGCAGAGAGCAACATAGCCTGGGGGGTCACATCCGAGCCTCGGTGGGTTCACAAGTTACATGCGGATGGAGCCTGGGAGGTGCTGATTCAGCAAAGCCAGGTACCTGACTCATGTTGTGAGTCAGCATATTAGCCCTGCCGACTCATGGTTTCGAGCTCCCAGGCTGGGCTAGGCAAGGCAGGCTTGTCTCTTTGAAACTTGATGGCTTTGTTCTAGGAACCGCACTTCGGGTCAGTGCCAGGGGCAAATTAAGGGGTGGTTTTGGGGTTGCAAATGCTGGAGGAAATGGGCTGCCCGCTGACGTGGCTTTCACTTCCAGATGGTCTAGATGTGACGCCGCGCCCCGAGCGGAGGCTGACCGGAAACAGACTGGGAGACGGGAAGCACACGGGAAGCTCGATGAGCCTCAGTGTTTCAAACCATCATCTTTTATTACGAGAGACTCATCAGCTTGCTCACACTGTGGCAAGAAAGTCATCATCAAAGGCACGGGGAACATTCAGCCTGCGAGATCTCACCCTCCCTTTGGATTTTGTGGGGACCCCCCCTCCGATAAGGAACCCCGAATAAAACACATCAAATTTAAAAGGCAAGAAAACACAATGGAAAAAAAGCGGGGGGGGGGAACCCCCCAAGGAAACATTTGCTTGGCTATTTCCAATGCAGAAGTGTCGCTTCCAAACCTCACTTCCCCGAAAGCACAGGGCTCGAATTTAAGAACGAACCGGACGTTGGTGCGAAGCAGTCTGGGGGCACGTCTCAGGGCTCATTGTCTCGGCTGCAGCAGACTGGTGAGAGTGAGCGTGAGTGCAAGGACCACCACCAAGCACGTCAGCGCCCAGTCGAACTTGCAAGCACAGAAAACGCCGGGACAAGACAGTCATTGAGCCATGAGCAAGCAAGGAGCATTTTCAAACCTTTATTTTTAGAGGGGTGTTTTTACATGCTGGTGTAGAGAGAGCGAGCTTTAAATTTTGTGCGCTTTGAATGTTTTTGTGCCCAATTCCTGATCAATTCAAGCCCTGGGAAGTTCAGATTTGCTGCTCTGGACTTTCTGAATCCCCTCTCCTTTCTCCGCGCCAGGAGCTCTGAAACATCACTAAAAATCCCGCTGCTAAGCTTCAAAAAGCCCAATTTTCCAACACCCTCTGGATAGACCTTCCCTCACTCGCCTTCTGGAAATCAAGGAGTGAATCACCTGGGCTGTCTTTGCTCTACGTTTAAACATCTGAAGAATGTGGTGTTAGTAAGAAGCTTTAAAAATAGACCCAAGAGAGGAGAGGAAGAGGGGGGGACCCGCCAGGACGGGCCATTGCGGCAATGCCGTTGACTCAGAGGATCAGTGAGAACGTGCAGAAACAGGGGAGTGAGTAGAGCATCCTAGTGGCATAGATTAGGCAACTAACACTGAGTTTGTTGTGTCTTTTAGCACCGTTAATATGTACGATTTAGACCTATATTAGCACCTTGTCCCCAGGGGAGAAACCAAACCAAACAAAGGTTTCAAAATAAGAGGAAATGGGAGGTTAAAAAAAAAAAATGTAGGCGACAGAAGAAGGCTGGTGGCTTAGATGATGAGGTCCTTGTCAATGTCCTCTGCAAAAGAAGGAGAGAGAATAAATGAGGAGCTGGACCGGAGATATTTCGCGTGCGCTAACTGGAACGCAGCTAAGGCAGTGTCACCCCCGCAGTGGCTCCGTCCCATGCAAACGCACAGGCTGCTGCATGGAGAGCCCCTCTGCCAGCTAGGAGATGTCACACTGCTTTCCAAGGACCTTCCCCGAAGGCCTTGCTACGTCTCCAGACGGTGCCGGGGATGAAGGAGGGGATGCACAGACACCACCTTAGCTTTCCCCGGGGCCGGGAGCTCGGCGCCCCACCCGTTCTTATTGCATCTTCCAGCTCAGGTGGGAGCACGCTGGGTTTGAGACACGCGGGGTGCCCGGGTGGGGTACCAGCAGGGCAAGCCCCCCAGGAGAGCCACATTCCCGCTGTCTGTGCGCTGCTGCACCCACCACAGAGAGGAGCAACAGGGACCAGGGCTTTGCCACCAGCCTTAGTCCACCTCAACCCTGGGGGGTCCAGGAGAGCTCTGATGTAGCAGCATTTTACTACCAACTTCCAGAGCTGGGCCAGCGCTGAGAGCAGAGGACCCAACGTCCTGCCTGTCCCTCGCTCTGCAGGCTCCTGAGAGCTTGTCGGCTGTGTTGATGGCCGGGGCGGAGGGGAGCACTGTGATGCTGGAAGCCGCTCTTCCTCGAGCATCCCCAGCCGTCCCTCCGGGCAGGGGAGGGTGGCAGGTACTTACGCTCCTTGATGCCGAAGCAGCCGGCCCACTCCTCCAAGGCGATGTACTTGTCGTTGTCCACGTCGCACGCCTCGAAGAAGCGGGTGGTGCAGTGCTCCATGGGGATCAGGGGGGCTCGGAGCGGGGCCAGCTCGGTGTGGGACAGGTACCTGCAGGGAGAGACGCCGCTGTCAGGGCTTGCGAAGCAGCATGTCGGGGGGAAGAGTCCGGTACAGACCTCGGCTTCCTCCCGCTCCTCCCCTGGCACGCGTTACAGTCCTGCTGGCGGGTGCAGCGGACAGGGAAGGGGCCGCTGCATTGCAGAACTTCAGTCCTTTGGGTCCAACTATAAGGATGGCCTGAGGTGGCCTGAGAAGTCCTCAAGGGGAGGTTGCCATCTCCCCATCCAGCAGAGCATCTCTGAAGCTCATCCCCTTCATTCACCCCACGGCTGCTCAGCCAAGGCGCCATCCGTGCTTCTGAATGCCCCCCTGAAGCCCACGTGCCCCTTTGCAGGTGCCCTGAATGGCACCGTACCCACCATGCTCCCACCTGGCCCACATGCCCCTTTGCAGATACCCTGAATGGCACTGTACCCTGCCATCCCAACCGTGGGCTTCCCGTGGTGTGAAGCTCACCACTGCCCCTGGGCTGGAAATAACCAAGGAGTTCCCTTTGTTTGAGGTCGGTCCGGGCGAGCACCCAGCCACGCAGAGGGGAACGAACGTGGGGTCTCCAGCCCCCGGCGGCGGAGTCCCTTACCCGTCGATGGGATGCTGGTCCAGCTGGCCAAATTGCCAGTGCACGGGGAAGATGTACATGTTGTAGTTCTTCTCGAAGTCACGGGCCAGTAGCTCCACGGTGTGGTCGCCAGCTTCCAGGCGCTTCTCGTTCTCATGGATCTTCTTCACCTGTTCACCGGGGAGATCTCAGTCAGCAGCCCCGGGGCTGTTGGGGGGCCAGGGGATGGGGCGCCTGGGTGGGGTGTTGCCGGTGAGGTTCAGAGCACAGCTGGGTGGAGGTCTAGACAGGTCCCAGCTTGGCATTTTAAAGTGGCCAGGTGAGGAGGAAACAAGCTGTTCCTTTCAGGTGAGCCGTCATGTCCTGCTGTGGATCTACCTGTTGCTGTACCACAGGTGGGTCCAGGACCTCATTAGGGTGTGGGTTTGGGCCAGAAGCTGCATGCAGTGGGGTGCACCAAGGCTTGGAGGTGCACTAGTGTGTACTTTGCCAGGCACGTCTGCATTTGCGTGTGCACAGAGCTGGGCTCAGCATGCACACAGGGGCAGGCTTTGCACACCTGTGGGCAGTGGCGGGTTCCCAGTACATACTGAAGCATGTGGAAATGGGTTCCCTATGTGCAATGGGTGCATTCCTGGTGCATGTGTATGTATGCCGGGGGCTGGGCTCTGTGTGGGCACAGGGGACCGGCTCGTGGCCTCCTCTCACCTTGAGCTTCTGCTTCTCAGTCAGCAGGTTGTTGCCCTCGTCGCGCTCGTACAGGGTGATCAGCACGTTCTTCAGCCAGTCCCGCATGCGCAGGGGGAACTCGGTCAGCTCAGTGTCCAGGCACGCGGGGATGTCTGAAATCCAGCCACCCAGCACAGCCGTCAGCACAGGGTCCAGTGGGGTATCTCAGGGAAGACCCCCCCACCTTGCTACTAGCATAGAGACGGGAACCCTTGGCCATAGCCAAGGGCAGCCGTGGCTGGAGAAATTCCCTGCCGGCTGATTGCCTGGACATTACGGCCGTCCCCGGGGGGAGAGGATCCAGTGAGGAAGAAGCAACCGGAGCAGCTGAAACCCTTAAAACATGAGGAGTCCCTTTCCTGCAACGTAGAGACCTGGTCCTCCGATGCAGGGATCTGTCCTGAAAAGACTCAGTCTCCCTGTGCCAGTGGTTTTCAGGGGGGTTGCAGCATCGTTATGATGCCTATGAGGTTAGCACATGGCTCCTGTATCAGAAGAGCCAGCCTGGCCTGCACATCTTATCCCAAAATCCTCCCCCAGGTGGGGGTCGGTGCTGCTCCTGGGGTCCCAGGGAGTGCCCCTTCCTGGTGGGTCTCTATGTTTGATGAGGAGCTGGCTATAAGCCTTCCGACCCCTCCATCTGATCCCAGTCACACGAGGCCAAGAAGAATTGGGGGCAATCTGGAGGCTAGGGGGTCTGGAGTCCACATGCACAATAGCTGGCATCTTGCACGGCGCCAGGTGCTGCTTGCTGCTTAGCATTAGCTCATGCGAGCACAATCGGGCCATTAGGCGAGGCGGGGAGCCAGGGAGACAGGCAGGTCTAGACAGGTCCCAGCTTGGCATTTTAAAGCGGGCAGGCGAGGAGGAAACAAGCCGTTCCTTTCAGGAGTGCCGAGCCAGCTTCATTCCTAGCCATGCGGCTTGCAAAGGTATTAGACCCCCCTGCCCTGGCGGCTGGCGCGGATCCACGGGCCGCCTTCCCTGGCAGAGGGCAGGCCCCGCAGAGCGGTGCATGGGAGCTTGCTGTGCATGGGGACTAATGGAGGGTTGCTCTGGGCCTGGAGCATGCCTGGCACGGTGAGATACCAGGAGCCCATCCTTCAGCCCCCCTCAACACGTTGCAGGGCTGCGAAGCAGAAAGCAGAGCGGGCTGGGTGCAGAGCGAGGGACGTTGCGCCCCATCGACCCCTTTCTCACCGGACAAGGAGCAGACTCACATTTGCAAGGGCCGATGTAGTCCAGGTGGAGCTTGTGCCCCTTCTTGGTGCCCTCCAGGGTGCACTTGGTGGCAAAGAAGTGGCAAGAGGTGTCGTAGGTTTTGTTGTCAGTGCCGCAGACCTGGTGGGAAGGGCAGGGTCAGGGGGAGGCAGCCAGCTCACGAGGGACCTGTGCTGGACTCCAACCTGTCACCCCTGCCCTCCATTAGCATGCCCCAAGCTGCCACGACCACAACCCCGCTCCTCGACTCCCTGGTTTGCTCCCCCAGCCTCCGTGACCACGTTCCCATTCCCCGTTCACCTTCTCGAACACGCCGGTGCTGCTGGGGCAGCTGGAGGGGTCCTGGCACACGCACATGGGGGAGTTGTTCTCGTCCACCTCGCAGACTTTGCCGTGCTTGCAGTGGTGGTTCTGGCAGGGGTCTGGGACAAGGCGGGGAGCAGAGTTAGAGCTCACGGCGCAGCATCATCAGCAGCCTGGCCTCAGGAGCCCGGCCTGTCGCTGCTTTGGCCACAGGTAGTTTCAGGAGAAAGTTGATGGGAAGGGGATGGAGAGCGAGGCCAAACATTGCCCCCCAACGCCCCCCTGCAGCCAGATGGAGGAGACCAGGAGGTTACTAGCATCCCAAAAACAGCTGGAGACCTTTTCATTAGCCAGTTGCTCCTCTGGTTAATGCTTTGCACCCCCGGCTCTGTGGGAATGTAGGGCAACGTGCTGAAAACAACCAAGTCCCACCATAACCCCTGCC